GAGCATGCTTTACATATGAACAATTTCTAAAACGAGGAAAATAATTGATAAGAAGTTGATGAAATTAGAATACATGTATCATCTTTTTGTAAGTTATATGATTGATACATGACTTTGTCAGCAAATGCAATCAATCATTAAGTCCAAAGTAAATTGATGTTTTTTCATACTAATTGTAATTGTGTTGGGCCATTATTTACACACCTCTGATAATTTGGAGGTCCGAGTTTGCCCTGCTCCTGATTTGTATTGGATAGCTTGAATACTCACTGTCCTTTTTACCATCATTTATTTTACATTAAAAATGTCATTTACTACACAATTATACATATTTAGTAGTTTAATGCCATACATTTGCTTAATTTAATTTAGGAATTTTACTGTCCATACATTGCTATGTTCTGAAATAAGAAAAACCTCCATAATTTTAAAGAAAAATTTAACTGATGGATTTCTTACATTGATATTTTAAAGTCTTTCAAATTTCACTTCCATTAAGATGTTGAAGATTAGTTTAAATTGAAAACATTTTAATTCATTTTATATATTCATCAAAATCATGTCTCCTTACTTGCAAAAACCGATATATTTAAAGTTCTACTGATTTTTGTCTAACATAAATGCAAAAGAAGTTCTTGCTCCAAAACATGAAATTTAAGCTTTGGTGTTAAGATGCTATTGAATTCGTTAGACTGTTGAAGCATAGAACTATGAATATTTATTCAGATTTGAAATAAAAACATCTTTGTATCTAAGAATAGAGAAATTGCTTAAACATATTTTCATTGAAAAACTTGCGAATCTTTACATTTCTGAATTTCTATGCTTAGATTATGGAAAATAATCCTATATAATTCAATGACTATCAAAAGATCACGCGGAAACCACGAGTTATCGTTTGTTACATCGATATACTAAGGCCCTGTTCCTTAAAACGATTAAAAACGTAACGCACATGCATTTAAGCGTTGTGAATTTTAATTAGCTGTAAATCGGATCACTTGATTTTTTTTTAGTTTGACATGAAAAGAGAAGCACAGGATGTGTGTTGCCCAAAGTCATTTTTTTTATTTTGGTGCATAAGGTTCTGCTAGAAACTTTGGTACTTTAACATGTATATATCGGTGAAACCCTTTACAGTTTTTGCAAGTGGTGTTTGCTAACGAGATAAAGACAAGTTAAATATAAACGTGAAATGTAGATTTTAGGTAGGTTGTACTCACCTTTATCATTATTAGATAAAGACAATTACTATTTGTTATTCAGTTCGATGATTAATCCAATTACATCATTTACAAAATTCTTAATATGAAAATACATGTATAATTAAGTGCTATTGAGGCATTATTATTATTATTTTTTTTTTTTACAAATTCAATTCAATATTTAAAACTCAAATTATATGATGGGTATGTTTAAACATATCTCAAATCGTCAATGGTACATATTTATCATAAAATTAATACATGTGTATTTATATACATTTTATAGTTGCTTTTCTTAAAGAAATACACAAGACATGATAATGATTAATTAATGATAATAATAATTTACTCGCAAATTAATCATGGAAAAGATTAGAACATTTAAGGAAAAAAGAGAGTCCAAGAATATTTCAATTAAATTCACGGAGACTTTACATTTGAATTTGACCTAAATTTGAAAAACTTCCACCGTAGTATCTTAAATTCAAAAGAACAAATTTATGTTTGCAATCAATTTAAATACATGTAGTTATAACTGTTTTCAAACCAAGACTAAGATATACTTACATTTAGACCTCCAAAATATTTGAAAAATGACAATTAATTATCCAATATGCGTATTTGAATCTTTGCCGTCAGGAATTCTCATAACTTCACACATTCATGAAACTATGATAGACTAACATAGTGTACAAGTTTAAATCTTAATCCGATCGAGGGATCTTAATAAAAAAGTACAATAAACGAGGGTCATACAAAAATAAATCCCCGCTTCTTACATAGGATTTTACGACGAGTGCTTTATTTACATATCCTTTTAATCGCACATGAATGATATTAATTTTTTTTATTTACGGCATAAAGATACTACGTTAATATTTTAGTATATATATATAGCAGTAAAAAGATCAGCGACACAAAAATTATGTAAAAAACAACAAAAATCAATTTTAGAGGCTAGACACAATATAAAACACATTGAAGAAGTATTTTTTTACGTATCAAAAGACTGCGCGGCATATGCAAACCATCTATCTATCTTTATTCAATAGTCAAGAAGTGAAAAAAGAATTAGATTACATGATCAGACATACTAGTCCCTGCTGACAAAGCATTTGTAAGGCTCATTATAAAAATTGTATTTTAGAATAACTTGGATTTAATTCTACAAGTGGTAATCCTACTTATACTCATAGGAAGAAATTCTTCAAAATCATATGCCAGTTTTGAATTTTTTTAATATCCCAAAGAGCCAAAATGAATACATGTATATTGGATATCGAAACTTCATAAGAATCCCATCGTCTCAAGCCACGGTCCGGAGTCTGCATATAGCTCTCTCCTGAATGGAAGAACATTTTGCGACGATGTAAGAATCCTTACAATCAAAGATGCATAGCGGGTTCCAGTAAATGTTCAATCAAGCCTCTTTCTACTCTTTATGAAGAAATTAACAGTAGTGATGGAGAAACAGTAGTGAGGGAGAAATGTCAAGAGTACTGTGCAATTATGTACTCAAGAAGTGGTGTAAATCAGGATACATAAAAATTCCAAGGAACTTTTGGACAATTTGAAATCACAAGATTTTACCAAATATCACAACCATTAAAGTCCCAGCTTTTTGATGTCATTGACAGCCGCTTTTTCAATAAAAAAAATTAACTCGTAAATTTACTTACATTGTCGTTGGTCATTTGCAAAGTTATTTTGTTAAAAAACATTCTGATTGTACACACAAGTACTCTGAAGTTGACATCAAAAAGATGCTTAAGTTCCTGATTAACGATATATATGTTAATTGTTTTTGGAGACCAGGTCTTCCAACAATGTGGGTACACATTGTGCCCCGTTAGCAGAACTATTTTTGTATTAATATGAAACAGAATTTATGCAAAATGTTATGCGTAAAAGGAAGAAAATACTTGCTGTCGCCTTCAACTCGAAATTTAGATTTATCGACGACGTATTGTCAATCAACAATGGTAATTTCCATTCTTATGTCGATACGATAAACAAGTAATCTTGAAATAAAATATACCTTAGGGTCTGACATATCTATTTCATGTTTAGATATTTTACTTGAAAAAGACGTTAGTGTTTATCTAACTATCAAGCTATATGATACACTTGATGACTTAAGCTTTCTAATCATCAACAACCCTTACTTATGCAGCAATATACCATCGTCGTCTGTACACGGGGTTTATATCTTTCCAGTTGATGCTCTACGTATGGACAATTTCTAAAACGAGATAAATTATTGACAGACAAATTGCTGAAACAAGAATATCAGCAATCTCGTGTAAAGCCATCATTTCCTAAGTTCTATCGTCGATACCATGACCATGTCAACATATACAATTCATCATTAAGTGATTAGCGTTTTGTTATTGTTAGGCCATCATACACACACTGAATTGTCCACTGATTTTTCCTTTATATCCCGATCATGACAAGGAGCACACGCGGCTGGTGTGACCGATTAGTAGGAGATGCTCAATCCTGCATGTCACATAATCCCACCTCTGTAATTTTTAGAGGTCTGTGTTTGCTCTGTTCCATTTTTAATTTATTGACTTTTGAGCTTGAACACTGATCGTTATCTCCATATATTTCATTTTTACTAAAAGTAGACATAACTAGTTTTCCTTAAACAAGAGGCCCATGAGCCTCATCGCTCATCTGATCACATTGGCAAGAGAAAAACACAAATCAGTTCAGTATTGAAAAGTTTGAATTAAGGGGGGAGGAGGGTTGAATTTTAAACTACCTGAGGATGCTCCCATACCAATAACAATGGCTTTGCTAAGGAGAAGAGTTTTCCTATATATGCCTTTGTAAAAATTTCATCCCCATTGTAGCCCTCTCTATTCCCTTGGATCATGATTTGAACAAACTTGAATCTACACTACCTAAGGATGGTTCCATATCAATATGACTAAACATGGCTTTTCTGTTCTTGAGAAGAGAATTTTTCTCCTGTACATGTATATTCTTATGTAAAATTGTAATCAGTTTATTGTAGCCCTGTCCTACCCCTGGGGGTCATGATTTGAATAAATTTGATTGTACACTATCTGAGGATGCTTCCATATAAATTAAATATGATCAATCATGACTTTGCTATTCTTGAGAAGATTTTTAAAGATTTTACCTATAAATTCCAATGTAAAACTTTGATCGTCTATTGTGGCCCCCACCCTAACCCCGGGGGTCATGATTTGAACAAATTTGAATCTTCACTACCTAAGCATACTTCCATTTAAATCTAGCCAATCATGGCTTTACTGTAATTAAGACTTTTCATGTCTATTCCTATGTAAAACTTTGATTGTTCATTGTGGCCTCACCTTACCCCCGGGGTCATGATTTGAAAAATTTGAATTTACACTATCTGAGGATGCTTTCATATAAATATGACCAATTATGAAGATTTTCAGGATTTTTCCTCTGTAAAACTTTGATTGTGCATCGTGGCCCCACACTATCCCAGGGGAAATGATTTGAACAAACTTCAGTCTACACTACCTTTTTATTTTCCTAGCCCGATGGTTCTTGAGAAGATTTTAAAAGATGTCATAAATTCCCCTTGGAAGGAGGCTTGGCCCTTCATTTTAACAAGAAGTCGAAAATGTGAAAAGTTTACAGACGGACGGACAGACAGACAGACGGACGCCTGACAAAAATATGATCAGAAAAGCTCACTTTCAAGAGCCTTCGGCTCAGGTGAGCTAAAACGTAAACAAAGGAAGATAACTCGTTTCTGAACTTTAATCCCGTGATTCGTTCTACATTATCACCTTATTAACGATAGACAGCTCTTTTTGCGTTACACATTAAAAGTCAACTAGTCCAGTTAGCTTTGGTATACTTCAGGTCCATGGTGAGTATACACTTTTCCACAAACTGTACCGGTATTTTAAAACAGCCTGAACGAAGTCAGGTTAAACATTGTTATTGTTGTATTTTGGTGCAAGTGCAATCTCGTTGAAACTTCATGGATATTAACCAAGTCCAGATGCATTCATTATACACCCGCTTGAAAAGTGGGAGGGTATATAGTTATCGGGATGTCCGTCCGTCCGTCTGTCTGTACGTCCGTGTATTACGTTTTGGGGTACCAATTTCTTATATCCGCACCTCCTAGCTCTTTTACCACTGATTGAAATTTAATGAAACGTTCACAGAATCTTTGTTATATTGTGCTATTGTGCACATGCCATTTTATTTTTTGATCGGACATATATTTTGGGTTTCCTAGAGCAAAACATGGACACAGCCTATATTTCTATAATACAGATCGAAGGATATCCTTGCAACTTTTATCCGCAACTCCCCCTATACCACTGAATAAAATTGTATGATACTTTCACCGTTTCCTTATTATATAAAGGCTATTCCAGAAAAAAAAAATGTATGGGAGGGTTGGACAGCACTTCATATATTTTTGTATGGGTAATGGGGACGGGAGTGATTAAATTTGCATGTATGTCTTCAACCGAAATATTTTTAGATGGGTGGTTGCACTTATCCTCACAAATTATCGACTGCAAAGAACTTTTTTCCTATCATTTTGTATAAACCAGTAATCATAGATATTTATTTTTAAAAAAAATATATTTGTAAAGTGTGTTTACCATGAAAGTGAAAGTAGAATCGAAGCAAGGGCAGATAAATGTAGAAGCATGACTGTAATGACAGTGGAGGATTGGGACACGGATTCTTTGTTTTCTGGACTCCGTGCTCAAGTTTCTTTCCAGCAGTTTAATCAAACGTGATTACATTGGTAAATTAAATGATATGATAAACAATCAGAGAGATCATTTTATTTTAAACCGAAAGTAGGAAAAAAAACGTTTCTGATAATAAACATTTAAGAGCATGTTTATCACTGTTTATGGAGTTTGCAACTGCAAGTCAATTAATATTTTACCTTATACTAAATACGAAGTAAAATAATGTTCAGATATGAGTTTGTAACAATAAAATAATTATGTCAATTACATACCAGTCCTTAACCTGTTGAGTATTACCTTGAATATATTTTAACCCATAATAAAAAGATGAATTAAGAAATACATTTTAGCAACAAGTGTCTGTAGTTTTTAGGCTGGATTGGGATTGAGACTTCGTATCTCTTTTCTTTACATTTCTCACTAACTAGACAATGTCCTTCACAACTTTAGTGCCCCCCCTCCCCCCCCCAAAAAAAAAACAAAACAAAACAAAACGGGAATTTTTTGTTGTGAAGAAGGTTTAAACAACGTAAGGATAGGCTATAATTCACAATATAATTATATTTTTATTAAGTATAGAAATATCATTTCTGTACCCTAACATGTATTAGTTTTACTTGAACTTTACGGATTGCAAAGTCAAGCATAGGAACGGATATATACAAATCATTATAATTTACAGGGCTTTCAGTGGCATGTGACATACCTAAACGGGTACATTTTTAACCTATAGGCTCGCTATAGCAGGAACCTTGTGACCTGTTTTACAAAAGATTAAAACCATTTTCAAAGTAATGAAAAAGAAATGAAAGTTTTTTGCAGTACATTTATATTTTCATATTTATCAAGTTTTTTTTTTTAAACAAGGCCCTGATTTGGATAGATCCTAAAAGTGAACATTCATTTCAAGTCACATAAAGTGCAAATGCATGAAAAAAGTAGTAGTTCCTGTACAACAATTTTATTTTATATATACATAACTTAGAACACAATTCTCTAGAAAATTATTTTAAATTAAGATGGGTGGTTGTATCAAAAGCATTTTTATTTAGATAGGCGGTGGGGGAGAAAGCAATTAAAAATGTATGGGTGGTGAGGGTAAAAATAAAAGTGCCTTCTAACCCCCTATATATTTTTTTTCTGGAATAGCCCTAATACCATTGTGTGCATCCTATTTTTCAATTTTTGATCTTATTTCGGGTCTCCCAGTGTACATCATTGGCTCTGCCATTATAACCATATGGCAGGCGAGGAAGGGTGGGGGTGTAATTTAGTGAGCTCATTGCTGACAGTACCTCTAGTTTACACATAGAATTTTTTTCATCAAAATTATAAAGGTGTTCATTGCTATGTCTATGGAACGAAAAATCAAGGGTTTCCATTTACATCTCTAGACAAATTTTTATCTCCAGACAACTTTTTTGCAAGCGAAAAATTGGTTCTTTAAATTTGGTCCATGTTTTTCATTGTTGCAGTTGAAACAAAAAAGGGTGATTATGATAAGTACACAGGCGTTTGGATAAATACTGTATGTGTTTTCAGAGTTTTAATCTAGGGATTAAAATTTCCAAGACCATAGTTGGCTGACGTTGCCATAGAAACAAAGAACCATAATTTTTTAAAAGTTAAATTTGCGCCACAATTTTAAATTGTTTGCTCTTTTATCTGCAAAAGTGTGGAATAATGCCAACTAAATGTAGTTTTTTCACAAATAAATCAAACAGGAAATAGACTATCTTAGGTTGAAACACGTCCATACGGTTCTTGTAAAAAGTCAAAAACCAAACTTTTAGGAATCTTTTATATGTACCCAGTGCTTGCAAAATTGTATACATTTTAGTTTTTTTTTAAAAAATACGAATAGCATTCAAGTTTGCAATATTTAAGTCAAAATTTTGGAATCAAACATAGAATTCTGTATTATTTCCTGTCAAATACAGCGAAGTAAATTTAACAATTAAAAAAACTTAATTTAAAGTACTGAGTATTCAGTATTTGAAAAAAATAAAGTATTCAGTATTTGAAAAAATACAAAGAAGAAAAATATGTGTTAGTGGCCATTTTTTAAAGAAATAAGGCAATTAAATATGGAAGGAAAACAGACTTATTATTTTCATAGACATCATGGATCCTTTTGGTTCCTGGTGGAACATAGGGCTTCGCTAACATTCCTCCATCGCACTCTGCTTTGAGCAGCCTTTTGCAATTCTTCCCAGCTATGTCTCCTCTCCACATGACCTTCGTCAAGTTGTCCTGGGACGCCGTTTGGCATGGGGGTTCCAATCGATTGCAAGCCGTGTAATGTCTCCCGATGCTTTTCGGAGGGTATGCCCAATCCACCGCCTCTTTTTACAGGCTATTTGCTCAGTGATTGGTCTTGATTTGTTGTTTCCCACAGGTTCTTGTTGTTTATATTTTCTGGCCACCTGATGTTTATTATGTGGCGCAGACATCTGTTTGCGAAGGTTTGTAGTTTGTTGGAGATGGTGTTGGTGACTCTCCATGTTTCAGACGCGTAGAGGAGCACAAACTTAACATTGATGTTATAGATACGAAGTTTTATGCGTGTGGACAGTGTTGTTGAACTCCAGACAGGCTTGAGGTTGATGAAGACGTGACTTGCTTGATTAATTTTTGCTTTTATGTCTTCATCTGTTCCACCAGTGGTTTTGACGATGCTGCCTATGTATGTAAAGGAGTCTACGTCTTTCAGGTTGTGTTCTCCAACCGTGATTGGGGTTTGCTGTTTGTTGTGGAGTCGCATTACCTCTGTCTTGTCATTGTTCACCTGTAGACCTGTCTTTGCTCTTCTTCCTTTGCAAGCTTTTAAGCTATTTGTCTTGAGCTGCATATGTTCATACTTCTGGGGAATAAGGCAGAGATCGTATGCAAAGTCGAGGTCTTCCAAACACTGAGTGAAATTCCACTGGACTCCTCTCTTGCTATCTCTAGTTTTTTCCTGCATGATCCAGTCCACTACCACTAGAAACGTCATTGTTGACGACAAACAGCCTTGTCTAACCCCTGTCTGCACCTCAAACGCTTCTGACTTAGCTTTTCATAGACAATAAATAGGTTTTTTTCAGTATTAAAACGTTTGATATGAAATTGAACTTTTCAAAATATTTCTTAAAAGAATTTTCAATATACAAAGATTTAAAATGTAAATATATGAAATGGTATGGGGTATAAGTGGAGTAATATGTGTGTGCATGCATGTTTCGATTGATAAAACCAGAAGACTTCCGTAAAAATGTGTGACACCTCAGCATTTTATGCAGAATAGATCCATAAACAAAATACTGTTGTAACACCTATACTCAAGTAATATTTCAGACCCTGCTCTCCTTGTTCTTTGGAATGCATTTTTTTTTCGGTTTTAGAAATTATATAGATCTAAATAATAAAAATCATAAAAATAAAAAAAATGTAATATAGTTATTTTAGTTATTTCTTCTTTATTTCTGACAGACTATATAGGTGTTGCTAAATCCAATCCGACAAAATGTCTCAGTCGAGGATTACCAGTATTAGTGGGCCAACAGCCTCACTGAATTTTATCGGGATTCCGTACTCCGATATCGACAGAACAGGTTAGACTTGTTTTATAAGAAATTTTGCTAAATCTTTTTATAAATTATTAAATCTTTTTAATAATGATGTTAACATTATAACGTCGGAGCATAAGGGTATACAAGATTTATTAAATGGCACACATTGGATCTTATTAATAATTGTGCTGTGTTACCATAAAAAAAATAATAAACTGTGAGATGTTAACATAAATTCAAATATTTTTTAAAATGCTATACGAATGAAACCAGCTTACTTGTAGTTATGCAAACCGTTTTCAATTTAAATAGGACACTGGGCTGTCTGGAGAATTTCCAAAATGTTTGAAGCTGCACGCTTGCTCTCACTTCTTGCTGGGTTCGTGGACTATAGAAAAATAGTTGACGAGGACCATGCATTAGCCATTATCAAGCAACAGTTGAATTTAGATCCTGAGTTACAAAGAGCGAGTTTAACACCAGCGATGAAATTAAACTTTGATGTAGAACTTATACAATTGAAACAAACTTCCTTCACAATAGTTACTAATTTAAAAAATGGGACCACAGGGAAAATTCTTGGAGAAAATTTTATGAAAATAGTAAGAATAAATCGGACAACGCGGCGGTCGTCTTCATTTCCTGAATGGTTTTACAAAAAGTATGCAGCTTTCATGAATATTCCTGGACATCCAAGTACTGAAAAGGAAGAGTTACCAGAAATTCCCAAGAATGCTTATAAATATGACGTCATTCCAGGGCACAGCGACGAGGATGTTAATTGTCACCTGAATCAATCCTCATATATTCGATTCTGCATGGACGCAGCAACGAGTGCATCGTTGAATGGGTATTATGAACATTACACAAGAGATATGTGTTTATACCCCTCAATACAATGGACTATTAGTTATGTGGGGGAGAGTATTGCTGGTGATCAGTTGACTATATTTACATGGCAAAAAGAACACACTCCCGACAACATACAATTTGCTATCGAACGAAATGGCAATCTAATTTTCTATGCATCAACAATATTTGGTAAAATCGCAAAAGAGAAAATACATTGGCACAAATTGTGAAAACACATTTTATTTTGTGTATTGATTCATTATTGAATAAAACAATCTTTTTTTTTTGTCAAAAGGGTTCAACTGAAATATGAGATCAAATGGCAGAAATTCTGCCATCGGAATGTGTAAAGCGCTAGAATTATTGACTTGCTCAGCTTAATCAGAATATGTTTACGCTTTATCCAGTTATTGTGAGCGATAATATGGAAAAGAAACAAATTAATATAATGATAAATATCTTTTTTTAAATGAAAAGAAAATGAAATTCAGAAGTACACATCTTGTGATTACACTCATTATATGGTGAAAATTATTCTGATACAAACATTCTGATTCTTAACTCAAGTGTATTGATGCAAATAGAACAAATTCACACCCCCTCGAATTCGTAGAATTTTTAAATGTATACATGTATATTGAAGCAAATAAAAAATGCAATATGGGTTTAAAGATGTAATTGCTTATTCTTTCTTACGTGTATAGAAGATTCTTTTTATATAGAACATTTATCACATTGGACTGGTGATTTATTAGTTTTTTACAAGCCAGACATCACACCTGTTTCATTTCACGTGCTGCATGAATACGATCATTTAAAAGTGAAAAAAGTATTTTTAAAAAAATGAATTATCTGGGATTTGAACCATGGACCTCTCACATATCAAGTGAGAGACATACCCCTACATGTATCCACTTGATTAAATCGTAAATCGTATGCAAACATCACATGATTATATATGAGTTTTAAAATATTAATATATTAGTTAAAATTTCTAAATTTCAAAAGCTCACACTCATTTGGTACATTAAAATTTAATATTTTACTTCAAAAATCTAAATTATCAAATTTCCAAACAGGTTTTAGAATTTTAATGTTTTAGATTTTTGCCTGAAATATTTAAAATTGCAATTTCTAAAAACAATTTTTGTATTCTAAACTGTTGAGTTTTTTAATCTGCTGTTTGTTCAGAAAGTGTACGCTTAACTGTCCAAACTTCTGAAACATATTTTGATAATTTAAAATTTACTTTAATCTTTTAAATTTCAACTTTCAAACGTTTAAAATTTTTAGAAATTTAGAAATTTTATTCAAACACTCAAATTTTACTATTCTAAACCACTTTTTACCTTTTGGGTGTTTAGTCAAGTTGCTCCATGGTGTAGGGGTATGTCTCTCAGTTGACATGTGAGGGATTCCGGCTTCAAATCATTTTAGAAATTTGAATTAATAAGTATTACACGGACCTCATATACATGTATATATTCACGGTTGATATTGTCAAAATTTTACACAAAATGCATGGTGTCTAATTAAGCCTTTACTGAACAGTTCGTAGAGATGTAATAAGAATAAAAAGTCCACCGACAACCTGTATTATACGTAATAACTCTCCACGTGCCTCTAAGCTAAAAATAGTGTCAAGCGGCAATTTTAATACAATAAAATTTATTGTATTGAATAAATACTAATAAAACAAACGGGATGGTACACCTTGAGAGGGATGAGAGAGGACCTAGGGAGTTTTGATATAAATTTTCATTGCAGAAGCTAAATATCTTCTTGAGATATCGCCCGGAAACGAAAGTGTTATACACACAGATGGAATGTGGAATGTATAAATTTAAATTTCGACCTTGAACTTTGACCCTTTTACCTCAAAATCAATAGGGGTCTTCCTTCGGCCACAGAATGGACGAACAGACAGACAGACCCAACTTAATATCCCCCACTTTCAGTGAAAGCGGGGGAAAAACTGCGAAAGATGGGTTGAACCATAAGAAAATGTGTAGCTAACCGTCAACTTGTCGTCAACTGATAATGCGAAAACAGTTTACCACTATAAGTTGAAAATGCTATTCTGAAAATGTTATCTCAAAATGTCAGGCAACATATTATTAAACTTTTTTTTTCTTTCGGGATTTATATTTTGTACTTTTTGCTGCTTAAAAAGTACTAGAAGCATTAAAGAATCTATTAAATTTGTAGCAATTTCACAATTATCATGGTTTTGATAATTCTTTAGATTGATAATGTATGACACAAAATTAATAATTTGACTCTATGTATGCCCCTTTTACTCTTTCACTCGAAGAAGGTAAATATTATATTTACGAGGGGTTATTAAAAAGTTCGAGGACTGAGGATATAAAATTAGTACTATGTAGTCTGTGCTTTCAAAATTTCTTTGGAACATAAAACAACAACAACAAAATAAAAAAATAAAGAAATATTGAAAATTTTAGCTTAATACGTTCATTATTTGCCAAATTATTATAAAATAAAAACGACATTATATAATCACGCGGCCCTGTCACCATTTAGTTTCATGACGTCCGACAACGTCATTTTTTTCATTGTCCGCTTCTTCTACCCAATAAACTTATTTTGATGAGATTGCCTGGAGCTGAGTACGGACTTAAAACTGCCTTGGTTACATGACTTTACAATGTCATGAACAACGGCTTTCAATGATTATAATATTTCACATGGATTATACATTGGGAGAGATCCTCGCTTGATTGTTCCAGCATATTTTGCTTTTGGGAGTTCGATATCTACAATACATGGGGCCAAAATAAAAAATACCTTTGTTTCCCCTAACGCGACCGACTCAACTAAATCGCACCGACTGAAAAGATTTTTTAAATATGATTATTTGATAAATTTTTTTTTATTATTAACCAAGTTTTATAAAATACAATTTTATCAAAATCAGTTTTTATCCGAACGGCCGACATTGTTCTACTGTGATTTTCAAGCATTTGTTGGAAACAAAATGACGTCCAGATGTGATTACAGGGCATAAGCTCTTCATAAACAATGGCGACGTCTCAATCTTATGCTTTTAGCAGGAATTGGAATTGGAATTCTTCACTCTTGAAACAATTCGGTAATAAAGTTACCATGACTAATTAAGAGTGTTTCGGAGGTGTCTTGGCGTCTCCATAGGAGTGAATAAATTTTCGAAAGGGACGTTAAACAACAAACAAATAAACCTGTCTTTGAATTTAAGGTACGTAATACATGGTAAGGCCCGCCTCATGAGTAGATGAGGGGCCCACCTAGTGAACACATCATTCAATTTCACTGCATTTTATTTAATTTGAGTTTTGATCTAATAATCAATTCATCTATGTTCCTATGTTTACTACAGTATATGTCATTATGGAACCATAGGAGTTGTTGTAAATATGGCTGCATATTCATCCTGATTAATATAATTCAGATGTCATTTCTTTACGTTTCTTCATGCCTTTATTTAGTGGTTAAATTCGTGACTATGACATTGTATATAGCATTTGTATCATTTGTAGATTCGGTTTGGTTTTATTAAATATTGTTAACATATTCTTTCCAAATAGTTTTGAAATCATGATTCAGCTTCCTGAGACGTTCAGTGTATTTTTCTTTAATTAGGCCCTTGAAGATTGGTTGTTTCTTTGCTTTTAATCCCTTCAAGATTTGTTTGGATGACATTTCCCATTGCTCCAAATTTAGACGTACTCAGCACTTTTTTGCCATTAGGCAGTGGGGGATCTTTTTTTGAGCCAGCATCTTCTGCGACACTGGACATAAGTTTTTATGGTCCCCTTTGAAGGACCGCTTTCAATGATACTCATTGGGATTTGAACCTGCGATTTAAAATTAGCCACTTACTTCTTAACTCCAAAGCAAAATGCTTCAGAACCACTGCAAATCTCATGACCCTCAAAAAGTACATTGATCGTCTATAAGCTCTGAAGGCTGATGGAAGGTTTGAAAAAATATACTCGTATGTCTGGTCTTTGCGTATTTGAGAATCTTGTCTATTTTATTCAATTTATATAAATGTAATGGCGTGAGATATTTCACAAGTTCAACTAAACAACAGTTGTAAATTAATTAATCATGAATTTTGTTTTTAAACGGCATATGTACGATACTTAGCATTTTGTTCACACATCGCTTTCTTTTGTACTTTTCTTATTTATAAAAGTTACTTTCCATTAAATTTAAGAATGTATTTTCAAAGCTGCTGTCAGAAAATAAAATTGTTTACCTACCTACCGACCCAACTTGAGAATTTAGGGTCGGGTTAGGGGAAACAAAGATATTTTTAATTCCGGCCTAAAATAATAAATTTTTACTTCATTCTGGAAGTTCTATGAAATTTTATCGTAAATTTGCATAGAGTGTCCAAACAAATAAGGCTTTGAAAATGACGTCAAAAGGGGGGAGGGGGGTCTTTTTCAAACATTCTATGAAGTTTTGCCCCTGAAAAAAATGGTATAGTCCTAAGAAATGTTTAAACTGGCTACAGAAAATAATATGCATCCAGAGAACTTGTCTTTTAATGTCAAAATAAATTCAGAAAAAAGGGATGACAGTTAATGTCGATTTGTAGTCTAGATGTGAAAAAAAAATCACGTAAAAAAATGACGTTGATCAGGCCGGAATTAAAAACATCTTTGTTTCCCCTAACCCGACCCTAAATTCTCAAGTTGGGTCGGTAGGTAGGTAAACAATTTTATTTTCTGACAGCAGCTTTGAAAATACATTCTTAAATTTAATGGAAAGTAACTTTTATAAATAAGAAAAGTACAAAAGAAAGCGATGTGTGAACAAAATGCTAAGTATCGTACATATGCCGTTTAAAAACAAAATTCATGATTAATTAATTTACAACTGTTGTTTAGTTGAACTTGTGAAATATCTCATGCCATTACATTTATATAAATTGAATAAAATAGACAAGATTCTCAAATACGCAAGGAATAGACATACGAGTATATTTTTTCAAACCTTCCATCAGCCTTCAGAGCTTATAGACGATCAATGTACTTTTTGAGGGTCATGAGATTTGCAGTGGTTCTGAAGCATTTTGCTTTGGAGTTAAGAAGTAAGTGGCTAATTTTACATCGCAGGTTCAAATCCCAATGAGTATCATTGAAAGCGGTCCTTCAAAGGGGACCATAAAAACTTATGTCCAGTGTCGCAGAAGATGCTGGCTTAAAAAAAGATCCCCCACTGCCTAATGGCAAAAAAGTGCTGAGTACGTCTAAATTTGGAGCAATGGGAAATGTCATCCAAACAAATCTTGAAGGGATTAAAAGCAAAGAAACAACCAATCTTCAAGGGCCTAATTAAAGAAAAATACACTGAACGTCTCAGGAAGCTGAATCATGATTTCAAAACTATTTGGAAAGAATATGTTAACAATATTTAATAAAACCAAACCGAATCTACAAATGATACAAATGCTATATACAATGTCATAGTCACGAATTTAACCACTAAATAAAGGCATGAAGAAACGTAAAGAAATGACATCTGAATTATATTAATCAGGATGAATATGCAGCCATATTTACAACAACTCCTATGGTTCCATAATGACATATACTGTAGTAAACATAGGAACATAGATGAATTGATTATTAGATCAAAACTCAAATTAAATAAAATGCAGTGAAATTGAATGATGTGTTCACTAGGTGGGCCCCTCATCTACTCATGAGGCGGGCCTTACCATGTATTACGTACCTTAACTTCAAAGACAGGTTTATTTGTTTGTTGTTTAACGTCCCTTCCGAAACACTCTTAATTAGTCATGGTAACTTTATTACCGAATTGTTTCAAGAGTGAAGAATTCCAATTCCAATTCCTGCTAAAAGCATAAGATTGAGACGTCGCCATTGTTTTATGAAGAGCTTATGCCCTGTAATCACATCTGGACGTCATTTTGTTTCCAACAAATGCTTGAAAATCACAGTAGAACAATGTCGGCCGTTCGGATAAAAACTGATTTTGATAAAATTGTATTTTATAAAACTTGGTTAATAATAAAAAAAAATTTATCAAATAATCATATTTAAAAAATCTTTTCAGTCGGTGCGATTTAGTTGAGTCGGTCGCGTTAGGGGAAACAAAGGTATTTTTTATTTTGGCCTTATGCCCTGTAATCACATCTGGACGTCATTTTGTTTCCAACAAATGCTTGAAATCACAGTAGAACAATGTCGGCCGTTCGGATAAAAACTGATTTTGATAAAATTGTATTTTATAAAACTTGGTTAATAATAAAAAAAAATTTATCAAATAATCATATTTAAAAAATCTTTTCAGTCGGTGCGATTTAGTTGAGTCGGTCGCGTTAGGGGAAACAAAGGTATTTTTTATTTTGGCCCGATAAATATTCTTTTTTTTAAGTATTTGTTATCAAGTGATACTTTCTATCTGTTAATCAATGATATATTTATGAACTGTAAAAGTTTTCTATTATAACACCCTTTTTCAAATTAAGAAGGGGAGAAAAAATAATTACTGATAGCATAAAATACGCATGTAGGGACTTGGTAATTGTCTGGTTCATCTCACTTTTCACTAAACAAGAAATCAATTAAATTTGACATTTAGAGAAACATTCTTATTTTAGGTTCAAATAAGGGAACTAACTCGGAGGGTAAGGGGGCAGAAAAATCGGCTCTGCATGGTTACACATGAATATTGGTTATTGGATATATTTGGATATCGAGCCTGTGACCATGAGGCTTCTGGTCACAACTGGATATCAGTTACTAGATATATTTGGTAATCTAGTCTATGACCATGAAGACATGGGCTTCTGGTCACAACTGGATATTGGCTTTGTTATATACATGTATTTTGAATATCTAGTGAGTCAGTGACCGTGTATGATGACAGGGGCTTCTGGTCACAACTGGATATTGATTATTGGATATATTTGGATATCTAGTCTATGACCACGAGGGCAGGGGCCTCTGGTCACAACTTAGTTATTAGCTATTTTCATATCTAGTTATTGACACTGAGGGTCCTCCGAGCAGACCTTGATATTGCTTATTGCCTATATTTCCATATATAGCATCTGACCACAACGTTAGGGACCTCTGGTTACACATGGACATTGGTTATCGGCTAAACTTTTTCTCTAGTTTCTGACCATGAGACCGAGGACTTTTGTTCATTACATGAATGTAGATTATTTGCCATATCTTGGTATCTAGAGATTCTAGTCTCTGGTCATGAATTCATGTCAAAAGCCCTTGCTCTCTTATTGAGATGCTATTTGTTAATGAAAATTGCATAGATTTCTTTTTAGAGGTGCTTCTACACAGGAAAAATGTCCACATGTGTCAAACATATGTTTAACATGTGGACATTTTTCCTGTGTAGTTATTTGAATATACGTCCTTGATGTAGTACTTTCCGTTTTGGAAACAGTAATGTTAAACCTGCAATTTTAAATATATGGCGGTGGATGGACGGATCAAATCTTTTTGAAGCTGATGTTGCCCCATCTTTGACACTGTTTAGGTCTGAAATATGCATTCTGCTTAGTGTACATGTTTGCGTACTTCATTGCATAATATTGTGAAATTAGATTCAATAACGTTTTGCTATATGAGTTTGTTTCTAATGTGTTAAATTGTATATTATATTATGTGTTTGTATATTTTGTTTGCTATGTCATTTAATTATAATCTTATAATAAATGATGACCATTCAAATTCCAACAACACAGCGTTCTCATTTGTGTCAAACAGAGCTCCGCCACATCAGGTATCCATAATTTTGACAAAACTAGTATTCCATACAAAACTGTAAACAAAGGAAGATAACTCGTTTGTCAACTTAAAGTTTGTACTTAGTACTACATTATCACCTTATTTAAATTGAACAGTCAAAATACAGTATTTCCTTGAAGCTTTATTTTACAGACAAGTAACCTGATAGCTCTGGGATACTGACATCAGTTAATTGTGAGTACACATACTGCATCGTTTCAGCGTAAGATCATCACATTGTCAATCATGCTATATGTCGGTGATTTGGCAGCTGTTAGAGATTCAAGCGAGATCGATAGATACTCAAAATTTTGGTCTGGTGTCTCTACGGAGTTTTTACAGACCATATTTAATTTAAAGAAGTATCAAACTACTTACATGTAAGAGTATCTGCTCCTCAGTCAGGGACATCGATTACTGTTTTATTTTAATAAAGCTTGAAATTCATGTAGGAATCTTTCTAAGCAATCATTTTTATTTCCTCACCTCAGTATGATTCAAGGTTCCTTGAAGTCTTGGAAGTGGTCTTCTAAATAAGTTGCTCATAAGTCATTTAAAGAAATTCAATAGCTTCCTCTTATCTAGCCTAAGATAAGAATGTTTACGTATTATTTTTAAACATGTATGAAAGTGATTTATGATGGTTTTAAAAGATATGAACCGCTTTTTATATCATGTATTCATAAAATAATTGAAGTAAATAGAAGAACCTTTATAGAGTACTGTATAGATAAAAAAAAATCAACTTTCTTCAAATACTTGGATACCTAATGTATTATAGTTTTTATCCTTACACAGATATATATTTGTTGATCAATACTAGTATTCAATTAGAATTTGCATAGTATGTGTTTATATTTAAAATTTGAGATTTACTAATAAATCCTGATTAATGATAAAGTTTGAAGAATTACCGTGGGTAGAGATGCTTTACTCTGAAACTTTCGCGACATTTTTGAAAACCTTTTGGATTATTCAACCCAATATTTAGATCCAGAGGACCGAAGAACGTGAAAAAAATCTCAATAGACCCTTTTCCTATGACATATTTTGCCTAGGAGTTATTCCCCTTAGCCGCCATCTTGTAGGGCAAAGTAGTGAATTTACCTCTTTCAGCAACCAATTTTAAATATGCATGCAAGAAATATATCATCCAAAGTCAGTTAAAGTGCCCCAAAACTAGGTTTTGATGTCACAAACGGTTTTTAAGACAAAACCCCGCATCTTTAGTTGTTTGGGGGGATGTTAAGTGAAGATCGATTTCAAAATATTGATATTACAATGCATTGATCCCGTTTACTTTTCAAAAGTAGAGGATTTATAACCCTAATTTGATCAAAACAGGATGTCACAAACAAGGGTGGTTGTGTTCGGGTTTGAAAAAATAATTTACTAATACCAAAGAAGAAGGCTTAATATTGTATTTCGTAACAAAAAAGGGATAAACAACTCATTTTTACTTACAATTTCTCTGCGATAGCCGAAAAAAAAATTGCACTGCGAAATATGAATGTCCCATTCAATGCAGTGGATTACGTTACGATTTTCTCACAGCTTTAACGGAATTGTAACTGACAAAAACGGTTAGGTTACATGGATAAAATTGATCATTAAATTATCAGAATAAAAAAAAAATAACGATTTACAGGCAAATGATAACATTTGTGCCAAAAAAATTCACGAATTTTAAAAACTTTCAATTTGTGCATTTAATTGTGAATTACGTTATGCGGTCTTGCACACAGTTCCTAAATGCTATGAACTTCAAATATCCTGATTGACATACACACTTTATGCCCATTATAAATCACACATCGACAATGCCTTAAACTGGCGTAATTAGTTTTATATTTGAATTTAAGTTGAAATCCGTGAACTACGTTATAGTGAATTACGTTATGATCAATTTTCTTTTTGGTGTAAAATAATCTTAATTAGGAACAAAATTACCATGAGTCTTAATTCAATGTCATCGCTTATCATACGGGAACTAGTAGAAAGGAAGTTTACAGGCGGGAGCGGTTTTGACTAATGCAGTGGTGTTAAAAATTAGTTTAAAACTGAAAATTTGACTTTTAAACGAATAAAACTATTTTATCGTTAACAGTGCTATTGAAATTTCATTCTGAATATGAAGGATATATGTTCTACTAAGATATCATAAATATAAAACATTGATTCGCTCGGCGTTTAATTCTGACAAGGCCTGTATAATAGTGTAACGTAATCCACAACAGTGTAACGTAATTCACACATTACATAAATACAGTTTTAATCTTAAATTATGACTTGAAAATAAGTAATGCTGAGCCTCGAAAGAAATTTTGGTGGTGGGAAAAGGCCAAAGAAGGAGATAACTACCTGGAAAAAGAGGTCTAACGTGAAAAAAAAGTATTATGTACCCATTTCATAATTGGCCTAAAAATCACCAACATCTCAATACAGAAATAAACAGATCTTTTCAATAGTAAAAGGGTCTAGAAAAGGTCCAAAATTTGTTTAAAGAACTACATAGAACACACTTAATTAATAAAATTCTCCTTACTTTAAATGTTTTTCTCAATATTGATAGTTACAGTCTGGTATGTGAATTACGTTACATTGTTTGATTTATAATACATATTGAGTTTGAAATATAATTTAATGCTTAATTCCACCAAACTTGGGTGAGATGCCAGAGATCGTGTAGATATAATGTTTAGATTATCTGTAATAAGTAGTAATTTTGCACTTTCAGATTATACAGCTTTTTATTTCATCTAACATGTAACAAGGTGTGTGAAATATGACTTTAATTGATGTGTTACAATGATAACAATGTAGATATATATAATTATGATGTCTATTGCGAAGCTATTGCAATATTTATAATTATTTTCTGTATTCTAATTTGTAACAATGCAGTTGTTTAACAAATAACAATCATTAGCTTTGATTTTAGTCATGAATGTGAATTACGTTACAAAGAAGACACTTTGTTTTTGTCTCAAAATAAACGTTTACACTGAATTTCAAAGTGCAAAAACTTGAGAGTCATTTTGTAAAAGGTATACTCATGCAAGTACATACAATTTTTTTTGTTAATTTGACTATGCGAGTCTAATCAAAGAAAAAATAAGATGCCATTTTCTCAAAATCCATATTTTTCTTTTTTCGTAGATTAATTATATGTAAATATGGAATAATTTTTAATATATTGAAAATTTTTAATTGCACTATGGTTTTTAATTGGATAGTTATTTTATCTCTATCAAATACGACTACTTGAAACACCATTTTGAATGCTTTCATAATAAATAATTTCAATTTTTAATAATATCGAAAGAAATAACGTAATTCACTTCAAAAATTACATTGGATATGTTCCATATGTGTGCAGAATATAATACACCCTTTCAAGAGCTATCATCTGTGTTTTCTGATCATTCGAATATTGTTCTATCAAAATTAAAACATTTCCTTTGTATTCCGAGTTGAAAATCCTCAGCCGTTTTTTGATACTTTTTGGGGCACTTTAACTGACTTTAGATGATATGTGGGAAAATATTTACAATTTTAAAATTATGAATTAATAGAAGCCTCGACAAACATATATTCATAAGCAAAATAGTTTTATCTTTACCTCTGTAACCAGTATAACAAATTGAACTTGGTTGAATAATGAAGGGATCTGGATATGTTGCCCTACAATATGGCGTCTAAGGGGAATAACTCCTAGACAAAATATGTCATAGGAAAAGGGTCTACAAAATCAAATGAAAACAGTTTTTACAATGGTTTGTACAGGTTATACTAGTATTAAATGTAACTTTTTATAAACCTCAGCTATATACTAGGGAGGAAAGAGAATTATAATATGTTGACGGTGCGACCGTTAGAGCGAGCGCAAACTCTTCTATTGTTTTAATTTAGATCGGGCTCGTCAAACCGCACGTGACATTTGGTGCGTTTAGACTCTGACGTCACATGACGTCGTATGTAAGTTACAAATACCAAGAAAAAACTGATCAGTGCTGAAAGTTAATGAAAAAAGTTACGTTTACAATTTATCTTCAATATGTATCCATTTAATCAAGGCGAGTAAACTTTTTGTTGAACATTTGCCGTCATTCTCGCGAGAACGCAACTTTGCTAAGTGATGCATTGTGGGTCAAAATTACTGCGGCAAAAAATTCTAAAGAATGAATGTGTAGTAGTCCGAATTTTCTCTTCGCCTAGGCGTTGTCGTTAGAGCTCGCAGTTACGAGCGTCGCTTCGCGACGCTCGCTGCGCTCGCTAATAATTATGATCAAACAGTTTTAAAACCTAAGCTGGATATCTGAAAAATAAACTCTTATAAACATAATTTCACAGTATATACAAATCAGATGAATATATATACTTCCATTTCAGGTAGAATGTCACGTTACAAAATATCATCGGCAACTGAATCATCAGCCTCTGTTTCATTTTTCGGGATTCCTTATGCAGACTTTGACAGAACAGGTATTATTTCTTATATATAAAATGTTGATAAAATAAATATACGTCAAAATTTAATCTTGAAAATATACTTATATAAGACAATTATCAGAAATTGAAACCATTAGTAATGTTTGATATATTGTCACTTTGCTGTTCTATATATATATATATATATATATTTTTTTTTTTTTTTTTTTTTTTTACTAAAAACAAATTTAACTACAGGACATTGGGCAGTATGGTGTATTTCGAAGATGTTTGAAGCCGCCCGAATAATTGCTTTGTATAATGGATTTCTAAATTTTACCAAAATTGATGGACGAGAGGCAGGCATGGTGATTGTCAAACAACAGTTGAAGCTCAACCCCAAATTACACGAAATGACTTTAAAGTCGAAAACTCAGCTGTTATTTGAAATGGAGCTACTGGAAGTCGGAAAAACGTCAATCTTATATCGGATACAATTAAAAGATGGAACGTCTAATGAAATTCTTGGTGAGAATTTTCTGAAATTCGTCAGAATGAGCAGGAAAACAAGACGGCCCATGGTATTTCCAGACTGGTTCTATGAAATGTACGCATCTTTCATGAAATCCTCAAATCCTCCAGTTTTGTCGAAAGAACCTTTGCCTGAGATTCCTGACAATGCATTTAAATACACTGTTATTCCAAACCACAGTGATACGGACAGGAATAATCATGTGAACCAATCATCTTACATTAAATTTTGCATGGATGTCGCTACCAAAGCAGCCTTAAATGGACATTATGTTCACTTTACGGAAGACATGTGTCTGTACGCCTCCCTTCAATGGACAATAAGTTATGTAGGTGAAAGTATGGCCAATGACGAACTTCATATATTTACTTGGCAAAAGGAGTATAAACCCGGGCATATAAATTTTTCTATTTTGTTGAAAGATAGACCAATTTTCCATGCCTCGACAATTTTTGACGAGGAGGCAAAAGAACTCAGAATAGCTTCTAGAATGTAAAATAAAGAGTATATTGAAAATTTTAAAAGAATAAGATTCCAAAAGAATACAAATACCACGTTAATCATATAAATAGCGTTTTATTTTCCTTTTTACGTGAAAATGAAATTATGAATTATACAGATTAAGTAATTCGTACACTCTATGTAAATACTATTTAAAAATTGATATACACGTAATAAAAAATCTCTTCATAGCTCGATCTTAATAAATGAGCAGTATGAATTCAAAGTCTCATTTCGTAATACAACCTTGTTATTGATTACCTCCCCCTTCATAGTTCTGCATTTGGTGATGGACAAGAGAAAGGTATTCCAGAATATTTACGTGCGAACTATATCAATTCAAATTTAAGTCGTAATATCTGCATTCAAATTTAAGTCGTAATAATACCTGCGTTTAAGAAAGGTTAACACTAATACATGCAAATAAAAAAAATAGCACGTTTTACTGAAGAAAATGCAGCGAAAAATCCGTCTTTTACTTATACTTCAATATGCCAATAAAGGAATTGTCGCTGTTAATATAAGTAATATTCTTAATCACAAAAGGGTCCAGTCTTATATTCCACCATATTTCAAGTTAAAGACAACACCTTGTATTTCCTACAAATATACATCGACCATTGCTTCGAAACTTTTCAATTACAAAAAAAAAAAATTTCCTGACCTGAATATCGAGTATCTGAAACATGATCCTCCATCGTGTTCATGTTCTAGTTCGTCATATAACTATAGTTCTGCTGGACACGTTGTTACAGGTGACGTAAATATAGTTAATAATGAGGACCTAAGATTACTTATTTTAAAATGTCCTAAATATATAGGGAACCTCGATCTTTCATCCTTGCATCGGAATTTCATAAATATTATGGATTCTGTTGAAGATTACGCCAGACGATGAGCCAGATATGAAAAAGAAGACGTTGACACTTTGTCAGAATGGATTAAATGTATCATATCCATGTTAAAATCGCGTATAAAAAGATTGAGGGGCAATATGAAAACCATCTATCCTTCTGTATTCCATAATCCAGAAGTGAAAAAGAAAGAATTAGATTACATGATCAGTGCGTACTGGTCCCTGCTGACAAAGCAGGTAACAACATTGTCTTCATTTGTAAGGCTCATTATATAAATTGTATTTTAGAAGAACTTGGATTTAATTCTACAAGTGGTAATCCAACTTATACTCATAGTTCCCTTTCCAAGAAACAAATTCTTCAAAATCATATGTCAGTTTTGAATATTTTTAATATCCCGAAGAACCAAAATGACTTTGAACTACCATATATTGCATTTCGAAACTTCATAAGAATTCTTACAAACAAAGATGCATTGCGGTTCCAGTAAATGTTCAACCAAGCCTCTTTCTTTACTCCTCACTAAGATATTGACAGTAGGGAAGGAAGAGTACTGTGCAACAATATATTCAAGAAGTGGTGTGAATCAGATGTAGATACTCAAAAATTCCAAAGAACTTTTGGACAATTCGAAATCACAAGATTTTACCAAAATTAACAGCTTAAAAATTTACGACTTTTCAACTTTATACACAACCATTCCCCACGATAAATTAAAGTCCAGGCTTTTTGATATCATTGACAGCTGCTTTTTCAATAAAAATGGAACTCGTAAATTTACTTACCTGGTCATTGGTCATTTGCAAAATTATTTTGTTAAAACACATTCTGATTGCACACACAAATAATCTGAAGTTGACATCGGAAAGATGCTTGAGTTTCTGATTGACAATATCTATGTGGTTTTTAGAGACAAGGTCTTCTAACAATCTATTGGAATTCCCATGGGTACAAATTGCAGTCCGTTATTAGCAGACCTTTTTTGTATTCATATGAAGCAGAATTTTGTGCAAAATCTTATGCGTGAAAAGAAGAAAAGACTTGCAGTGGCCTTCAACTCGGCTTTTAGATATATCGACGACGGATTGTCAAATAACAATGGTACTTTCCATTCCTATGTCGATAACGATATATCCTGGTGAGCTTTAGATAAAAGATACCACAGAGTCTGACACATCTGTTTCTGCATCATACTTGGATATTTTACTTGAAAAAGACGTTAATGGTAATCTTACAACCAAGCTCTGTGGTAAACGTGATGATTTTAACTTTTCTATCGTCAACTTTCCTTACTTATGCAGCAATGTACATTCATCACCCGCATACGAAGTTTATATATCTCAGTTGATTCGATACATAAGAGTATGCTCTATGTATGAACAATTTCTAAAACTAAGTAAATTATTGACAAACAAGTTGATGAAACAAGAATATCAGTTGTCTCGTTAAAGTCATCATTTTGTAGCTTCTATGGTCGATACAATGATTTTATTAGCAAAATACAATTTATCATTGAGTCAAATGCTGGCTGACTTTTTCTTTCTAATTGTTTGTCCATTATTATGTCCCCTTCGAGGAAGGGAGGGCATATTGCTTTGCTGCTGTCTGTCGGTCGGTCTGTCGGTCCACTTAGTTTCCGTTCATTTTCTTTTCAACTGTTGCACATATGGAGATGAAATTTGGTATACACACATGTATTTATCAGATATATATCTAGGTCAAGTTCTGTTTTGGGTACGATCGCACCATTTTTGACAGAGTTATGCCCCTTGAACTTAGAAAAATTCCAATCATTTGCAATTTCCGTTCATTTTCTTCGCAGAGGTTGCACATACTGAAATGAAATTTAGTATACAGAATTATCAGATGAATATCTACATCAAGTTCTGTTTTTCGCACGATCGCGCCATTTTGACAGATTTATGCCCCTTGGACTTTGAAAAATTCAAATTTGGGGGAGGGGGCATAAGTATTTTACAAACATCTCTTGTTTCATACACTGAATGACGACGGATTTTTCCGTTATTTCCCGATCATGACAAGGAGCACACGGCAGGTGTGTCCGGTCGGCAGGAGATGCTCACTCCTCTATGGCACCTGATCCCACCTCTGATGTTTTGGAGGTCTGTGTCTGCTCTGCTCCTATTTTGTACTATTTTATGGACTTTGTTATTGAATACTGTTCGTTATCTCCATATCCTTCATTGACACCATTTGGGTCCTCAAACAATGTCAACTTTAAAGTAGGTCACTACTTTTTGAACTTTATGTAATTCCAGAAAAATCATTGACCCTAGAGAGCACATATGATTATTATTATTATTGATAAAAAATATTAAGCTTAAAAAAATCGCTGATGCCCCTAACATGGCAGCTTATTCCTTGGTTATTTTAATGAAGGTCAAATTCTATTACTGCAAGGTCCAAGTACAGAGGTCTTTAATATTGATAACTAAAGAAAGGTCGTAAAATAAAATTGCACGTTTGGATCATAGAAATGCCGCTTCACCATCCGTTTGAAAGTAAAGACCAAGGTTAAAGTCTTATTAATAAAAGACAATGCAATGTCCAAAATCTAGGTTAGAGGTAAACATGTTTGTATTCAAAGAAACTTTGTAAAAAAAAAAAAAAAGAATGTGCCTTTTATAAAAAAAAAACGATCCACTTAAAATGCACATGTGAAAGAAGGAAGTCGTTTCATAAGTAAAGACAAGGGTTAAAGCATCACAAAGTTGAATCATCAAATTCAAAATAAAGAGCAAGGGACACAAACATGAATTCTTAAATCAAGGTCTTGTCACAAGGAAAACATGAAAATTTGAAAGCCTTAGCATACACTAACCAAAAGTGATCGGCAAGGTTAAAGCTTTCCAAAATAGGTCACCCTCCATGGTCAAGGTCAGGAGGTCAGAATGTTGGTTTATAAAGAAAGCTCTTGTCAAAAGGAATACACGTGAAAAAGTCCCAGCACTCAATGTTCAGAGGTAAGGGCAAAGTTAAACCTCCAAGGTAAAAAAATGGTATTCAAATGAATGTCTTTATTTTTACAAGGAATAACGAACGCCTTAGCATTCATCTTTCAAAATTTAAAATCAAGATTACTTTTTTTCAAAAAGCTGGTCGAAAGCAAAGGCAACAAGAAGTTAAAAATATTTATTTTCAGAGAAAGGCTATATCTTACAATCAAAGACACTTAACGGTTTCCAGTAAATGCTCTACGAAGTCTCATTCTTTTCTCCTCACAAAGATATTAACAGGTGTGAAGGAGAAACTTCAAGAGTACTTTTCAACAATTGAAAAAATAAGATAATGGTAAAAGACCCGTTAAAAGTGTTCTTTGAGTAACTGAGTAAAAATGTAAACTCCAAAGAAGATATGACAGAGTGATATTCGGATACCCGATTACTCGTTAACATTTCATAGTTTAAAAGATTAAACGTTCCAACATGAACTATATGGAGATGACGAACAGTTTTCAAGCTCAAATGTCCATTAAACAACAGAGCAAACACTGACCTCAAAAACGTCATAGGCGGGATCAGGTATAAGTTTGGCATTCTTTTGGACATAACTTATTGTTTGAAAAGTTTATTTAAAAGCAAATGATTTAATCATAGAGGGGCAGTTCATTTACATGGGTGGAAATGATAAACACAAAGATTGTATGAAATCTCGAAAAATAAATACTTATACCGATTTTGGCAGTCAAATTAGACGCCAAAGGACAGCATACATAATTGTTCTCCGCCCTTATAAAGTCAATGATTTATTCTCAAAGGCGAACCCAGGACCTAACCATTGAACATCATCCATCAGTACACATTGTAAGGTGTGCTTCCTACAAATCGGGCGTTAACCACTTCTTTCCATTATTGATGCATAATGTGAACAGAAATATTAACAAGTAAATTTAATTGTTCCTTTGAATGATGTAGATAAAAATATATATTGTTCAATTGAATATTTTTGTTAAAAATCAATCCTGGATATTTGGAAGCATTTTCGAATATTTTTCTCTCTAGTCTAAAAAAAAAGGTTTTAGGTTGATGTATCTTTTTTGTGCTTGAGGATAGTCTTAAATCTTCTTTTGACAATGTGTCTTAACCTTGTCTGGGAACTGTTTAAATTTGTAATCATTATATTTAAGTGGTTTAAAAACATTCTATCCAACCTTTTGTTTAAATTTATTACAGGTGCCTTTAGTTTTTTCATTCCATGACAAAGTTCTTGTATGAAAAGTTTTCAAATAGTTTTAACGTAATTTATTTTATTTTACTAAAGAACAGAAACAAATTTTACATTTCAAATTCT